GAGGCACGGGGGTGCGAAGTGATGCTTCAAAGGCGGCACGACATGTTAGAGGAAGAACTGAGATTAGTCCCTGGAAGCCGGGATGTCCACTCCCAGCTGCTCTGACTCCCAGCTCTGCTCCATCCCAGCCAGAATGCAGCAAGCTATGAAGGCTGAGTTTGCAAAAGGCTATGGCTCAGGCTGTTCCCGGCACAGACGCATAGCAAGAACCCATCCCTACTTGTAAGAACTTACCATTTCAACAGGGAATTAATATCCCCAAATTACCTATGGGGACACGAGGCACAGGGAGATGGAAATGATTGGAATTATGCAGGGAGCCAGGGTAAGAGCCCAATTCCCCCCATCCAGCTTATTGCATTAAGCCGCGGAGCATCCTCCTTCTGTGTGAGATGAGCAGTAGAAGCGTCTCCCAAATGTAGTCATCAGCCAGCCCCTGGAAGCGCACGGGGGCCAGACGGGCGAGAGGCAAGTCTCCAGCCTGCAGTCTCGCTGGCTCCCATGTGTCTTGCATTTGGTATGCGGGAGCTTGGTCTGCCCGGGAGCTGGCACCGCTCGTTAGAGGCGTGCCAAGGCGCGTCGGGGACAATCGCAAGCAGCCGATGGCGTTATTAATTCCGGGGACAGGCGAGACTGTGGAGTTGTCAGCGCAGGAGGAAGGAGCCGTTTTTCACTCTGTCACTGGCAGGTCACGTATCTTTAAATAAACAACAGAATAAATAATTTACAGGGCTTGATTGCAGGCAGATTGGCTACGAAAACACAGCGGCTAACAAATAGCCCTGTCAGCTCTCATTTCTTCTGGCCCGTCTAATTGTTATCTGAGGATAACAGCGTCTGAAATCTCCAATAAGGTTCATTTGTCAGGGAGGCACCAAGCCAGGGGTCGGGCCAGGGGGCGGGGGCCAGAGTGTATTTAAAGGAAGAAGCCAATCTCAGGCACAATATGCTTTGGCTGATGGAGGGAGAGAAGTGAGGGAGTCCTGGTAATGAATGAGTGTGGAAAATGCATGTGCCTTCAGGGGAACTGATTGCCATCTCCCTCTTGGGACTGTCAGGCCCAGTCTGCGCAGGCAAGCGATGTTGCGCAGCTACAGCGGGACAAGCGTATGGGGGAGGGTTTTTTGGGTTTTTTTTGCAGGGTGGGGGGTGGGAATAGCTGAGAATGAGATTTAAGGCTGGGTTTTTGAAACCTGTCCTTGTTCTTTGCAGCCCCGGCGGGTAGGCTCTGCAGGCTCCACTGATGTCACTTCCATGCATAAGCGCCGCGCCGCGCCGGGTCTGTTGGCAATGCCGAGGAGTCTGTCTCTGCAGCAGGCCGCCTGTGCATCTCTGCCAGTCGGTCTGTGGTCTTTTAGAGATGCATCCATCTAGCCACGGCTCATTGAAGCCTCTAAAGAGCAGGCCTAGAGCAGGAGTCAAAGGTGGGGGCCCACTGGGTGGGTCTGATCATGTTGCCTCCATAGGCCTCCCTCTCCTTGGTCGTGCCTGCTACTAGCAACAAGGGGCCCGTGGCAGCTTTTCCATGCTGAGACAGTGGCACAGCTCGGGGAGGTTGCAGGGGTGGCACAGGGGAGGGGAAGGATTTGCTGCTCTGCTGTGTTTCCTCTGCCTCAGTTCTCCCTGGGCATCTCTCTTAAATTCGCACTTCCTTTATGTGCATGCACCCACAGCGAGGACTCCAGGGGCAACCTTCAAAACAGCTGAAGGCCTGGGCCACATTTCTGTACAGTATATGCACGTTTCCTCCATTGTAAATTTATCAGCTCAAATATAGACTTGTGTTTGCAGGGAGCAAATGGGAACCAATTTCTCCAGAAGGGCAGGTGCAGGCCGGTCCGTCACGCTGACCTGGGAGATCCCTTCAGAAGGCAGCTGGGGTCCTCTCCGCCTTTCTTGGGCAGGAGCTGCATCCAGTAGCAGCACGTTTCTGAGCTGGCCATCCATTTTTGAACTGGCCAGCACTTTCCCTGTGGTGCCAGGTGTGTGCTTTGGGGTCCAAAAACCTGTGTCCATCTGCTGCAGATGCCTCATCCAGGGAGATCAGGCAGTTTACTGGTATCCATGAACAGGCTATTCAGCAGCTGGGATGGAGATGAGATTACAGAGAGAGGAAGCTGGCCGTCCTGCCTCTTGCGCGTGGTAACGCAACACCGCATCTGAGCTGTGCAGAGGACAAAATCTCTCTCCACCCCCTCTCTGTGTCTGTTCCTTCCTTGCTCCTGTCTGACGCCAGCACCCTGCCATCTATTTCAAGGCCATGGCTCCAGGCTGGGAGACTTGCCTCTATCCATTAAGAAACGCATGGAAATAATCTTACTGGAGTGGGAGCGTTTCCATTCAGGCAGTCTCCTCTCCCGATTTGGAGCCCACCTGGGAATATGGAGCAGGTCGCATGTTCCAGCAGCCCTTCTCCCAGTGACCAAAGAGCCCCAATACCATTATTTAACCACAGGTTGAATAACTCAGTTCTGCATCCTGCCCTGCCGTTAGGAGGAGCATCATTGACTCTATGGGAGGACAAACCAAACAAATCATGGCAAGCGAACAGGGACCAGAGACTTACCGTGCGTCCCAGTTGCTCTGCGGTAATTGTTCAGTGCCCACTCTTATCCCGCGGTAGGTGAAAGTTGGAGCCTGTAGTTTATGTGGAAGAGGAGTTGTTCTAGTTTTCCTGTGAAAAAGGGTGAGAGCAGGGACCTGGGCACTGAGTACGGAGCAGCTGATACGCGGCAAGGCCCTGCCCAGTTTTCACTCGCTCTGCTTTACGTGCCTGTGTCTTAAGGATCAGGGATTGTAGTGTCGTGCATGCGTGCTCAGAGTGCAACACAAGCGGGGCCCGGTTGGCACTTCTCAGTGCTTTGTTAGTCACCCACAGTCATAGACAGGGGAGTTGTAAGGGACCTCAAGAGGTCATCGAGTCCAGCCCCCTGCCCAGGGCAGGATCAGCTCTGTCTAAACCATTCCCGACTGGTGTTTGTCTAACTCGCTCTGCAAAACCTCCCCCGATGGCGATTCCACAGTCTCCCAAGCTGATCTATTCCAGTGCTTAACCATCGTTACAGCGAGAATGTGTTTCCTAATGTTTAACTGTAATCTCCCTTGTTGCAATTTAAGCCCATTATTTCTTGTCCTATCCTCAGTGGGCACAGAGAGCAATTTATTCCCTTCCTCTTTGCAGAAACCTTTCACATCACTGAAGATTGGTTTCATGTCTCCCTTCAGTCGTCTCTTCCCCGAACAAAGCAAACCCAGTTCTTCCAACCGCTCCTCATCGGTCATGTTTTCTAGGCCTTGGATCATTTTTGTTGCTTTCCTCTGGTCTCTCTCCAACAGGTCCACATTTGTCTTCAAGTGTCATGCCCATCACAGACACAGCTGAGTGCTGAGTGAAGGGGGGAAAATGGTTTTTTTGCATGTCTTCCATGGGGCCTGTTTGTTCATCCAGCACGATGATTTTTTTGCAACCATCTGGGATGCTTGATGTGTTTCAGCTTGTGATCCTCTCTACCCCTTAGATCTCGTTTTCACAGAACTGTCTCATGACTTGTTGGTCTCATCTTGTATCTGTGCTGTTGAATCTTCCTGCCTAACAGGGGAAATAGAATTGCATCCTATTTATTTCAGAACATTTCTCCCATTTTGTCAGGATCATTCTGAATTCTAACCTTGGCCTCCCAGCTTGGGATCCCTTGCAAAATTAATACGTGCATTTTCTATTCCAACATCCAGGTCAGTAAATATTGAATAATACAAGACCCAGAACAGGCCCCCTGTATAATCCCACTGCTAGTTTGATAGTGAACCATTGATTACCATGGATAACTACCCTTTAATTAACTTTTTCCCAACCAGTTATACACTCGTGTTGCAATAGTTTCACCTTGGCCATTTCCCACCCCCACCACTTGCTTACCAGAAAGGCACGTGAATCTTTGTTAACAGCTTTATTAAATCCAGATATATTGCATCTACTGGATCTCCCCTGCCCACAAGGCCTGTTATGCTGTCAGTGAAGGATATTATATCACAGTAATAAAATGCAAAAGGTCAAATGTGCTTGGAAAATTTGGTGAGCGGCATCTAGATGAGGCTGGTCATTATGGGTTGTTTGTTTTTTTCCTACTATCCCCCATGCCTCCATGCGCTGCTGTGAGACAGAGCTTCTGCAATTGAGACTTGAGATTTGAGGCAAAGGGGAAATTGGTCTGCGTTGCAAGCCCCGTTTGTCTGCATCAGAAGTGCATGGCAATGGACCTCTGGACTGTATTTCTCCAGGCTGACCCGCCACCCTGAGGATGCTTCATGATCCCCATAGTCAGGGTTCATTCATGCAGTGCTCCTGGACTTCAACCACAGTTGGCTTCCCCAGATGTATCATCTCTGCCATTGCTGGTGTGATGTTTGCTGCTCTTCTTCCAGGGCTGTCAGGCCTGTACATCAGCTGCTTTGAGCCAGCTGGGAGCTCTCTGGAGAGGAAAGTATGAAATTCTTGGGGAATTGGGACACTGGTTACAGTGCATTGCAGGTTCAGCTTTGGTGCTCTCAAGAAAGAAGCTTCTCTCCATTCTTCCTTTAACTCCCTCCACAAAAGCTGGCATCTGATCTGGGTACTCAAGTTATTTCCTGCCCCTCTCCCCAGTACGGCCTCCATGAACTTCCACCCCTTGCACTGCGTGTGGGGGAAAAGTTTGGGGCAGGTAGATGAAGAAGATCTTGCACTGAGTTGCAGGTCTCTTTGCTTTCCTGCCTGCCCCTCTGTGGACAAGCCCTAATGTTTTCACTGGGTTCACCAGGAGCTGGGCCCCTCTGCAATTCAACCAGAGCTGAATGTCTCTGCCGGGAGCTCCAGAATTAGCCGTGAAGGCAGGCCTTTGGAGACTATGCCCACCCCAACTCTTATGGCACGAAGGTTGACCCAGGTTCATACGGCAGGGACCAGCAAAGGAGGGTAAGCGTCATTAATGATACATGTGAGTTTTCTCTCTCTGTCTTTCCAGCTCTGGCCACCAAACAGACTTACGTCAGCTATAGCAACCACGCGATTTAACTCCAGCCAACAGCAGCCGCCCACGGTGGAGGGGGGGCCTGTGCAAGAGGAAGAGACGCAGAAGAGTTGAGTCAAAATCGCTCGCCGCAGGAAATGGGAGAGTGGGGAAACCAGGTCAGATTTGAAGGCGGCATTGCGGGGGCCTCGTTCTGCTAGCTGGGCTGTTGGAGGGAGCTCCTTGGGAAGATGGCGATGAACAGCAGCAAAAAATGAACATCAAACCAATCAACAAAAGCCACCAACCAAGCACCATGAAAATGCATGCCTCCCAACGGAGGAAGAGGAACAACGGAGCAGGGCGAACGTGCAATGGAGAGAGGTGACGGACTTTCGCAATTTGTGGGTTTTTTTCCTTATCTTGGCAAAACAAAAGAAAAAAAATACAAATCCATTTTTCCCTTTTCCAAAATTTGTGCGATTGTTTGTGGTTGTGGAAACTCTTTTGTTCCCCTGCCCCCGCCCCCCCTTTAGTTTTTCCTTTTCCATTTTTCTTTTGTTCCCGTCTTCCTCCTTCCCTATTCACATTCTCTCTCTCTCTCTCTCTTTTCTCCTACCAAATTCTGTGTGTTGCAAAAAAAATAAAAATAAAATAAAAACTAAATAAAGAAAATTAAAAAAAAAAAACAGATGACAAAAAAAAATAAATTAAAACCTAGACTGTGTTCAAAGTGCTGATTTCTATAGGTGGTAAATTAATGTATGTGATGACCATATGGATTGAAATATGTCTGCTTTATGTACTGACCAATCAAAAAAGAAAAACACAAAAAAAACAAAACAAAGTTCAGTGCCTGGATGTTTATGAATTATTCAATGAAGATGTGTAGAGCATGACCATTTTTATACGAGGATATTTCTAATAAAAGACCATGGTTTTGCACTCAGTGTTTGTCTTGTTCTTGATGACTGTTGGTTACTGGCTCCAGGGAGTCTATTTGACTTCTCCTTAAGAAGGTTCAGAGGGCACTTGATTGCCGTCAGTAAGCGCTGATGTGGAGAACAGATTTCTAATAGTGTAGGGCTCTTTTATTTGCCAAACAAAGGCAGAAGAAAACCCAATGACTGGAAGCTGAAGCTGGATCTATTCAGGCTAGAGATAAGGTCTCAAATTGGCAGTGCTGCTAATGTCTGGAACAATTTCCCTAGGGGCGTGTTGAGCCCTCTGTGACGTTCTGGCGCAGATTTCCAAAAGCAGCCGAGCCATCCAGGCGTAGAGGGATCGGTGGGATGCACGCTCTTGAAGCAGTGGATCTTTTGCAGAATCCAAAACCAGCTCTCTTCCTGCGAGATGCGCTCTACTCTAACCGGAAAGTCATGAGCTCAGTCCAGGAGTCCTGGAAGAAGGTGCTTGGAGCTGTGTCGTGCAGGAAGTGAGACTGGAGGTCCCTTTTATGCCATTTATGAGAGAGGAGCTTGCTCTGAATGAGTGGTTGCAGCAGAACTGGCTTTATGGAAGCAATTTAAGCCCCAAGAGTCTCATTCACCTGTCATTTGTATGTTGCTCCAATGGACACAGCTAGACTCACATGTTGGCAGCCTCAGGAGGGGTGGAGAGCACGGGCTAGGGGGACAATGCCCCTACTCTGGTCCCCGGTGCGGTCCTAGAGAGCAGGGAAATGCTCATGCTGCCTCGGCTCTTCCTGCTCCCTGGATAGACAAAGGCCCCAGCATGCAGGACTGTCAATCTGACACCAGTCGCCAGCATAAGGAATAAATGCTCACTTGATGGGTCTTCTCACCGGAGCCCCGTGGGGCAAGATGTGTAAAGGCAGAGTATACCAGGTGGGATGAAGGAAGAGCCTGACAGGTGTGACAGGCCTCAGCTAGCTGAGCCGTGATCTCGGGTTAGCAGCGAGAGGCAGGCACGTTGGGAGAGATTCACACCGTGTATTTTAGGAAAGCCAGCATGTCATCTCATGGATCTGGAGAGGCTGGCAGCACTGACGACGGACAGGAATAGCCTGTGCCATGGCTTTGTAGGCTTGGGGGTAGAGGCGGTCTCTGAGCTGTCGTCAGATAACGTAGCCCAGGTCTGGGTCCCTGAACTGATGTACCTTACCTGTTAGTCCAGCCCGTGTCCCCTCCACCCCTGCAGCTCCTAGTCCAAGGTCGTTATGGGGCTGACTTGAGACTCGTGACACCTCAGAAGACACTCGGATCCAGGTCCCTGGCAGCCTTCAAGCTACCGCTTTTCACCTGGAGCGTAAGCCAAATTGGATATTTCCAGAGTCATCCAGGTGAGGATTTCATCACAGGGATGTCTAGGGAATGGTCAGCCTTGCTATAAGGCCTGCATAGGCATGCAGACAAGAAGATCTGTGCATGAACTAGTATTTGCAAATTATTACTGGCTATTGCCCCCCACACTTGGCTGCAACTTTTGTCATCCAGTCAGAGTGCAGAAGGCAGAACCCGTGGCCTGGCTAACCAGTCGCCCACCACAAATAAGGAATGACTAGCTATACATTAAAGGTGCATTAGTAGCTATTTCCTGAGGTGGTCTAGTGATGAAGACGGGATAAGAAATGATTTGTGCAACCAACTCAGTGAATACAGCTAGCGAAGAGAGGTGATGGACAGGCAGGTCTCAGGGCCCAGCCACTGACCCAGGGGTCGAGAACCAGGGGATGCATCTGTTGCGGACCTGCTGAGAGCCTTTGGAAAGTGATTCAGTTTGTCTGGGTTTCTGTCTCCACTCCCGTCCTTTGTCTGTCTGTAGCCCACTAGCGCTCTGGGGAGGCACAGCTACCTTTTGGGTGGCTAATATGTTCACAACTAATCAATCAAAAGTAGCTCTGTGACTAATCAGGCTGGGATCAGCACCTGCTGGCAGCAGCCTTGCCCCTTGTACGCCGTTCTCCCCGGGGAGAGCTGGTTTATGGCACTTCTGAAGTGCGAGTCCCCGGGGTCCTTTAAGAAGCTCTGAGGCTGCTGCTGTTGATTCATCTCAATCCTGGCTCTCTTGGAGTCTCGGTGACACGAAGCACGCCTGTGACTTCAGAAGGCAATTAATTAAAGGCTAAATGCCGCAAAGTGCTCTGGGGAGATGCTGCTCCTCCTCATTATCGTTCCTCTCCAGGCACTTGAGCCGAGAGCAGAGGCTCGTCGTAGGTGAAAGGGGCCCCTGAGATGGAGATGAGAGGAGGGAGCGTGCTTGGCTCATGTGGCCTCGGCGGCCACAGCTGAGGAAGTCGCACAAGTGCTTGTGGAGAAGAGGCTGCTCCATGCTTGTGTGGACCCAGCCCCTCCGGCGTGGCCTTTGGGCTGGGCTCAGCTGGCTCTGCCTCTTCCCCAGAGTCATCAGCCTTGGTCCCAGCCGCCTGGGACTCATTCCCCCTACACAGCGCCTGCTTTCAATCAAATCCATGCTCCTTTCTAGACACCGGCTCAGACCCAGAGGTTGGAGATGGCCGGAGCAGCCCGCCCCATTCATACAGCCCCTCCTGCAGCTGTTTCTCTCCTGTAGCTCACAGCTCTTCATTCCCTGCCTGCAGGGGTTTGGATCTGGGGGTCCCTTGGCCTGCTTTAGTGCAGCTCCCGGGCTACCAGCCAGCCTCTTCTACTTTTCCTTCGTGAGACTCAACAAGGCTTGAGGCCTCACTTTTGCCCAAGTGTATGTTGGGGGTGGGGTGGGGAAAGAAATAGGAAGTTCAAAGGTGTGGGTGGAGAGAAAGCCCTGCCTTGCCCAGCTTGAGACCCTGTCATGCTGGGTTCATTTGCCAAGAGGCAGCCCCTTCTCCAAAGCCCTCACAGAGGCAGGCAAAGGGATTATTCTCACCCCTGTCCAGAGATGGGAAGCTGAGTCCCAGAGAAGATCAGGAACTTGCCCATGGTCATGCAGAAAGTCAGTGGCAGAGCAGGGGATTGCACCTAGTGCCCAGGGTCACAGCTTAGTGCTGGATACGGCCCCTTCCAGTGCGGTGTCCTTCCCTCCTCGCCTCTCCCTCCTGTTTTTGCAGCCACGCTCCTTTGTTCTTGGCTCAGTGGCTCGTCAAGCCTCTCATTGGCACGTGGAGATGTGCTTTCCACTCAGTGCACAGCCACGTACGCTCCGACAGGGCTCTTTCACCCCCTGTTTATAGTCGCTGCCTTTTGTTTCCGTGTTTAATGGATACACGTGTTCCCCGGGTGGGAGCAGAGCGCGGCTCCTCTCTGCGCATCAGGTTTATTAGCATTTTAATTATGTTCTTGCTCTGGGTGCCCAGGCTGGCTCTGGGCTGACAGCGGCTGGTGCCTGGAGGTACAAGAGAACGGGGCCTAGCTGCATGCGGCCTGGGTCCGGCTCATTCCCTAGTGTGAGTGCAAATGGGCAATGATGCCCTTCCACGTGGTGCTTCCTGTTGGGAGAAGCTGGGAATATGGGAACAGCGGCCACCCTCGACTGCAAGGGCTTCTGGCTCCTTTCCCTCTAGCTGGGGCTCCCTCCCTCCTCTGGGGGCCTGTACTGCTTTGCTACGCACCGTCTGCCTGCAGCGCTCCAAGCTAGAGTCTCGTGGGGGTAAGCGTTACAGACTCCAGAAGAAACACAGCCAGGAAACTCCCTTCCCTGAGGCCTCAGGGCAGGTGGCTGGCCTGGGACTCGAGGCAACCCCAGGCAAGGCTGGGCACTTGAATGAGTTGTGGGGGAGCAGGTGGAAACTAGATAGGGGGGCCAAAGCCTTGCACAGACCTGGAAGTTATGCTCTTATCCTTTGGGCACTGGGCTGGGACCTAAAAGATGTGGGTTCAATTCCTTCCTCAGCCAAGGAGCCCTTGGATGCTCTGCCTCAGTTTACCTATCCTTGGCAGTGCCCTGCCCCAGTTTACCTATCCTTTGTCTACTGATACTTTTAGCGTCTTAGAGGTACAGGCTGTGTGTATGTACAGCACCTAGCACAATAGAGCCTTGGTTTTGATTGGGTCATCAGGAGGGATAAGAAATTATAAATAATAAAAATCATTCAGATGTTCTTCATTCTGGGGTGTCTGAAGCTCAGGTCTAGGTTTGAATCCAGAACCTGGAGACCCCAAATTAATACTAGTGGGGCATGGGCCTCAGCCAGTTCAGGGTCCTGGGTGCTGCTCTTGAATGTCTCTAAGTTAGCCAGTGCTCGTGGGGTTCCCAAACTGGGCTGTAGACCAGGCTTTGTGTCCAGGTTGGCCTGTGTCCCCATCCTGTCCTCCAGTGTGACCGCCTTCCTCCATAGTTTACTGTCACCCGTGAACTTTGCCAGTCCGCATCTGATGCTCAAATCCAGATCATTAATGAAGATGTTGAAGAGTACTGGCCTGAGTACTGAGCCCTGAGGGACTCCATTGGTCACCTTGCACCACGTTGATTTGCTCCCATCAACTAGTACTTTTTGGGTCAGACCCCAGAACCAGTTCCCCAGCCATTGGACCATGAGATGGTCGAGGCCGCAACTCCCAAGCTTAACAGTGAGGACATTATGGGAGACCAAGTCAACGGCTTTCTTGAAGTCTAGATATATGACAACAACCTTGTCTCCTTTGTCCAGGCAATACATCACCTGGTCATAGAAGGAGACGAGGTTGGTCA